CCACTATGATATGGACTCTGATCTTTTTGATTTCCTCCTTCTTCATACAGATGCCTGGATCTTCAGAGTCTGGGAACCTGATCACATAAGGAGTTAGAGGACTCCCTTTTCCTTGGTGTCTTGTTTGCAGATGGGACCTCACACTTACCCTACCGATGTCTTTTTTTTTTTTTTCTTCATTAGGGTTCTAAACACAGCCTGGCCTGACCCAGGAAGTCCTGGTGTCATTCCTTGGCCAGCCTGGCCAGGACTTTTTGTCCTCATTCCCTTATATCTGTTGGTCATGGCCTTACTTCTACCTAAGTGGAATAATGTGTATATCTCCCTAAAATTCATAGAATGGAATCCTAATTTCCAAAATGAAGGCATTCAGACAAGGAGCCCTAGGGAAGTGATCAGGTGAGGAGTACATGGATTAGAGACCTTATGAAAAAAGCCCTGCAGAGATCCTCCACCCCTTCTGTAGATGGCTATCTATAGAGTAAGCCCTTGCCCCACACAGAATCTGCCAACGTTGGGTTTCCTAGTTTCCAGATTGTGAGATGTGTAATTCCATTTTAATAATACACATAATACAGCATATTTTTATATCAGTTCAAACTGACTGAGGCTCCTACTCAGCCTATTTCCTTTTGGCAGAATGAATAATAGCATGTGAACAAAAAGTTCATTCTCTAAAAATTTTCCTTTAAATGTCCATGGTAGTGACTGCCCTTCTCTTTTATGGAAAATTGTACATTCACTGTCTTATTCATTCCTTGTGGGCTATTCGTTTGAAAAATCAAACCCCTCAAGAACAGAGATACTATTAGTATTAGTGATAGAGATCTGATCCCAGTGCTGAATACAAAAATACCTGTCAATAAACATGGAGTCTTTTTTCTTTGTTATATATATATATATATGTGGTGCTGAGGGTCTAACCCAGTGCCTCACACATTTGAGGCAGGTGCTGTACCACTGAGCTACAGCCCCAGCCCCTGCATGGAGTCTTAATGGAAACATACATGATCTAAGGATGCCTCATCCAATGCAGGAGTTTTACTCATCTCTAACCTTCAGCAAGAGGATGAAGCTGATTATTACTGTCTAATGCTTCATCCTAACAGTGGCACTTACTCAGTGCTCCAGACCAAGGAGGAAGTGAGATTAAAACTTCCCTTTTTTTCTCCCTGACTTGTGCTCTCATAGAGGCATTCTTTGAGACTAAGTCTAAACTAGGCAGTGACTTCTTAACTTTTTTGAGGGGCAGACAATACAGTCTCCAATAATTATAAATATGCAAATCCCTTCTCTTTTTTAAGGAAAATCTTAGTTTCATATATTACAAATAATTTCTCCTTACCTTGACTTTTTTTAATGGCATAAATCACTTCTATGGGCTGTTTTATTCCAGCTTTGTCCAATGCAGCATCTAGGCCCAACACAGAGATTTGTATGGTCTGAGAGCACCTCATCAGTCACAGGTTCAATCTGCCTCAAATCCAGCCCCACTTATCAGCTCCAGGAGTGATGTTGCCTTCTCTTCATATGCTAGTTCCAGCTAGTATTAATTTGAATCTGAAAAACTCTTCCAAAAACCCAGTTGTTAAAGGATTGGTCTGCAGCAAGAGGTACTCTTAGAGGTGGTGAAACTCTTAGGATGTGAGGTCTTTCCAAGAAATTTAGGTCATTTGGGGTGTTCTCTTGAACAGGATATTAGAACTTTGGCCTCTCTCCTCTCATTCTTTGCTTCAGACCTGCCATGAAGTAAATAGAACTTCTCCACTATGCATTCTACCATGATATCATATGCCACTGCAGACTCAAGTGATATGGACTTGAGAAATTGATGTAACTCCATTTTTGAGAAACCAGCCTCTACCTCAGAGCAAAGCTTGTCCAAGGAAGGGGGCATGACCCGTGTCCTTGGAAAAACCCACAGAGCACTCTTAGGCACATACCCACCCTTCTGAGTTGTTTGTCTACAAATAACAGGAGAGATCTGCATCATCAGGTGTCCCTGACTCAGTTAGGCTAGGTGAAGACCAATAGTGACTCCCTAGCAACCACCAATCAGCATGAGACAGGAAAAATACCTCGGATGCCAGATGACACCCCATTAGTTTATGGTGGTTGATAACATGTTGGGAAAGCATGTAGTTTAGCATGTACATCCCTCATGGCTTAAACCTATTGTTTCAAAGGAATCCCCCTCTTGTACTAACCAATCACCCCTACCCAACTTTTTCCCACCAGTGAATGTGCTAATCAATGTTAAGAATTGTTGTTTGACTTTCCCGTGTGATATGGAATGATTTGCTGTGTGATGTTGTGATGTATAGAGTATTCCCCCAAAATCTGTAAAATCTCACTGGACAAAGGACTGGGACTCATTCCCTGGGACTGCTGCATTGGTAAGACTCTTGTGTGATTGCATCAGATTCAGCTCCTGGAGGTCTATTGGGGTTCCATGAATCTGACGTTACAGACTGAAGTCTATGAATCTGTAGGCTAGAATAGAACTTTTTTCCTTATGTCTTTCTTTATTTGTAGTTATTTGTCACAGCAATGGAAATCTAATTAACATACTTACTGGAGACACCTTTTCTTCTGGAGACTCAGAAGAAGTGGCTCTCTATGAAATCAGGGATGCTGAGTTAACAGAATCTCCTCCATGATGTGCTATGACTATGGCTATGATCTTTCATCGATCACAGGTGACCTGCAGCATCAGTCTTTCACCCCACACAGTCAGGCTCTACAAAAATCTCTACTCCTCTGTACCTTAAAATATCTGCTTCTTATACTGGTACTTCAATGTAGCTGGAGACTGTTAGACTAGGACACAAGAAAAGACCACTGACTCTAATAAAAATCAAATTAAAGCAAGCTTATTATTTCAACTGGCCCGGCTGCCTCTCCCAACAAAAACTGTGGGAACAAGACAGCACTGCATCTTTCTTGTAGCCCAGCTTTATAGTCCAGAAAGTTACACAAAGGGGGGTTACAGATAACAAAACTCTGACTCGCATAACACAAAGGCTGGTTTACATTTTTGCTGGCCCTGACATCAGAATTCATGAAGGTCATTACAGCCTCAAAGAGGGTCGTTATCTGGCCAGGGAAGGCCAAGATTTATGAGGCATCACTAAAGTTTCAGAGAGAGAGAGCTGCTATATGGTCAGAGAGAGCCAGGCATGGGTGAGTTCAAGGCATGGGCAGGCATTCCAAGCAAGTTCAGAATTTGCAGTAATTTATAGTAAAGCTGAAATTATTTTTTCATGGCTTTGTGGCAAGATGGTTCCCAATTTTAAGAGGGAATCAGGCTGGGTCTATCAGAGATTCTCAGGAATTATTGACATGCTCAAATAAGAATAACTTTCAACAAAATGGTTGAGAGATAATCAGAGATGATGTAGCTATGTCCATACTATAGAATTTCAGGAAGTTGACTCTGGGTACACTCTGTCCTGGTCTGGCTTCAACTCCTCACCCTTTCTCTACACATGTGAAGTGCTGAAGGATTTATGGAAATGGCTTATCAAGAGCACCTTCACTGTCCAACTTTCCATGTCCTGATACAGTGTGGCCTTTATCCTGACTTCAAAAAATACAGTGAAACAAAATACTCTGAAGAGGACTCCAGAGTCTCAGGTTGACCCATCCTGAATTAGCCTTGACTGCCTTCTGCTCCTCTCCTACTGTCTTAGTCCATTGAGGTGGCTGATTCTCCAGAGAATTAGGGTTTCAATGATAGAAAAAAATTCAAGACACAGGCATCTCTGGGTTTATCAAACTCACCATGAGATACTGTGCTAGCAATTTTGGTGAAACTAATTCTAATGGAAAATGATATATTCATATACATAGGCATAGATATATACATAAGCATATTTATGTTTATTCATATGATTATCATACAATATCAGTTGTGGATTAGGTCACTAGAGGCAGTAATGATATTAGTATCTTTAATGTGAGTTGAAAACTATCAGACACAGAGTAAGAGCTACAGAAGATCTGTTGACTAGTCAAAAATAATATGACACTATGACACAGAGCTCAGAGAGACTGGAAAAATTCTGGGAAATCTCTTTATCTCTCTTTACAACTTCAGCCCTTCTCCACTTCTGCAAGTTTCACTCCACCCTGATGTGCATGACCCATCTGATGAGGGAGACCATGGGCCCTGGATTCCACCCTGAGGCTCTGACTATGGGATGCCTCCTGGGAAGCTTGTATCTTTCATCACGTTCCCAGGTGGAAGAGGATAGGATCAGAGCATTTTCTGTCTATAATAAGAAATAAATTTTCTTGAGGTGCCCTCCTTGTGTTTTTATTCATGGACACTGTTCCATCTAGTGTGACTATGATACAGTGAAATGGGCTAAGGAGATTGGCCTGTGATCATGGAACGAGGTATGTGATGAGAGAGAGAGAGACAACAGATTCCATTTGGCCCATAGAGAAGTCATGGAGGGGTTCTTAATGGTCCCTGCTGTTTTGCTTGAGAGCAAGATATGTTCCTTCTGAGGTTCACTCACCTATTGCTCCAATCACAGGATAATCTGAATAGTCAAAGGACAGTTTGATGTCATTTTTCTTAGATCTCTTCTGAGGAAGGCATGTCTTTGAAATGTAATTAGCACCTACCAGCACAATAAGGAGCCCTTAGATTACATAACACTCTACCCCTCTGTGGGTACTGATAAGTGCAGGACAATGCTGGGTTCCGGAGTATCTCTGGAAAACTCCAGAACATTCACCCCGGTTGAATAAACCCTGGCACCTGATGGCCTGTGGGATGACTCAGCTGGGAAGCCAACCCCTGAAGTTCTGTACTGTGCCCTTTGCTCTGTGCTCTGTGGCCCCAGAAGCTCTGTCCTCTGGGATCTCAGGAGAGGCACCACTCTATACTTGGCTTTCACCACAATTGGGCTCATAAGTATCAGGGGAAGGGTGATAATTTGCATGAAGGGTTTCTTTTCCATCCTCACATAAGGGACAAAAATAAGAGACTGTGGGCAGTTCTGCTCAGCTGTGTGTGGGGGAAGCAGATCCTGGAGCATCTCCACCATGGTCTGGACCCATCTCCTTCTCACCCTCCTCACTCTCTGTTCAGGTGACTTGCTATAGAAAGCAAAAGGGATGGTGGGACAACTTGGGTCCATCTTTTCCTTTTAGGGGATAAACAGTACAGGTAGTAACTCCAGGTTCATCTCTTTATGCTCCTAATTTTTCTGTTCCAGAGTCCCAGGTACACTCTGAGTTGATCCAAGAATCTTCGATGTCAGCATCTAAAGGGGAGAAGGTCACTCTCTCCTGCACTGGAAATAGCAACAATGTTGGAACTTATTATGTAGGCTGGTATCAACAGATTATAGGTTCTTCCCCCAAAACTGTGATGCTTGAAACTACTAGGCCTTCAGGAATCCCTGATCGCTTCTCTGGCTCCCATTCTGGCAACACAGCCACCCTGACCATCACTGGGCTCCAAGTGGAGGATGAGGCCAATTATTACTGTGAAGCATGGGACAAAAGCCTCAGTGCTCACACAGTGCTTCAGATGCATGGGGAACTGAGACAAAAACCTGCTCTTGCCCTCATGAGAGGCTGACCATTCTATTGATGCCAGAATTAGATAAGCAGTCAGTGTAGATAAGTAAATTGAGTCAGGTGGGATCAAGGATGCCAACTTTGAGTGAGTCTGGGAAGTTGGAGACTGTCCCCTGAGGGATCTTATGAAGAACCTGCCAATTTTGAGTGAGTCTGGGAAGTTGGAGACTATGCCCTGAGGAATTTTATCAAGAACCTGCCCCTGCTCCAAACTGTTGCCGAGGTAACCTGTCCCAGAATTTCCCCCTCCCTACAGGGAGGTATAAGGTTGTTAATGTCTTTGGCTACTCCACTCTGCCCTTCTCCCTTTTCCAGATTCCCACCGTTTGGCCCTCCCACCTAGCATTGCTGGGCCTAGTCGCATATTCAGAAAGGAGAAAGATAAGGGGGAAAAGGCAGAAGAACAAAGGAAGCCTAGGATATATAAAAGAGCAGAACACCTCACCTCTTGAGATACAAAGATACAAGCTATGGCCCCCTTCTCCCTCATAGGAGAAGTCTATGTTACACCTTTTTAAATAAAACCTGCTTTATATTCTTTCTTGGTGTGCTTCTCTAACATTCAAACTCCAATACGTGGGGAAGCAGGACTTGTCACCAATAACCGGTAGAATCACTATGAGAAAGAGGGTGACTGTTGCACACTGCACTTGCAAGGTATGACTCTCATAGCATTGAAAAAAACAGCCTCTACCTCAGAGCAAAACCTGTCCAAGGAAGGGAGTGTGACCCTTGTCTTTGGAAAGACCCACAGAGCACTCCTAGGCATATACCCACCCTGCTGAGTTGTTAATCTACAAATAACAGGAGAGATATGCTGTGCCAGGTGTCCCTGACTCAGTCAGGCTAAATGGGGACCCATAGCAACCCCCTAGCAACCACCAATCAGCATGAGACAGGGAAAATACCTGGGATACCAGATGACTCCCCAGTAGTTTATGGTGATTGATAACATGTTGAGAAATCATATAGTTCAGCATGTACTCCCCTCATGGTTTAAACCAATCAGTTCAAACAAATCCCCCTCTTGTACTAGCCAATCACCCTTACCCAACTTGTTCCTGCCAGCAAATGTGCTAATCATGTTTTATAGTTGTTTTATGATTTTTCTGTGCTGTGTGATAATTTGCTAAAAGATGCTATGATGTATGTGAAGTCCCTGCCTTCCCTAAAGAGTGTATAAAACTGCTGCAAACTCTGGGCTCAGAGCCTCTCAGTGTCACCAGTTGCCATGTGTGCACGCGGAGGACGGAGCTAACTCGCGATAAACACCTCTTTGCTGCTTACATCGATCTTGGTCTCTATTGGTCTTTTGGGGGTCCCAAATTTGAGCATAACAGCATACGCCCACATGAAAGAGTCCATCATTGGGCCAGGGATGGTGGCTCATGCTTATATTCTCAGCAGTTCAGAAGGCTGAGGCAGAAGAATTAGTTGCAAGCTCTAAGCTAGTCTCAGCAACTGAGCAAGGCCCTAAGCAACTTTGTGAGGTCCTGTCTCAAAATTAAAAATAAATAAATAAATAAAAGGGCTGGGGATATGGCTCAATGGTTAAGCACCTCTAGGTTCAATACTTGGTAACAACAAACAAAAAAATTTAAAAAGTCATTGTTAATCACTTTTGTGTTGTTTTTAAAAGAGCTTTACTATCACAAAATGTATTTACTATAAAGTGCACCTGATTGAAGCCAGATTTAAAGATAGTTAGTTAGTGTAGTTAGGTAAATAGGGTCTAATATTGAGTAAGATGTATAAAATGAAGGCTATTATTGAGAATGGAATCTAGGAAACCAGAGCAGCACAGAGCACATCCCAAGGAAATGTTAATGAAGCAGCTCCCAGCAAACATGGAGATGCTAATCCAAAAGCCCTTCCGGCCTAGATTACTCCTTCAGCCCACCTGTCCCCCACCCTTTGGGCCTTCCCACCTACATTCCATCACTGCAAGATAACAGAGAACAAAGGACAGGAATGCCGCAAGAAGGTGGGAAAGCTGAAAGTAGACCTTAGCTATATAATCCCTTCCACAGATTTTTTTTGGGGGGTCCCCTTCTTCTTCCAGGAGAAGTCTTTTCTCCTGTCCTTTAATAAAGCTTCTACTTTCCACTCTATACTTGCCTCCGTGTGCTTCTCTGGTATTATACTTCAGCATTTGGGGAAGCAAGGACTAGTCACCAGTAAAGAGCGGTAACATGATCAAAGAATATATTCAAGTTTTTTGTGTATTTACAAAGTTGTGTGATTGTCAGTACAATAAGTTTTAATCAGCTTTTTTGAAATTGCAAGCAACAGATCTGAAAAGAAGAATTTTAGAGGGTGAAAATTTATTTGAGTTTCATGGTTCCTGAAGTCTCAGTCCACAGATGTCCAACTCAATTGCTCTGGACTAGAAGTGAAAAAGAACATCATGGCAGCAGTGTATGCAGAGGAAAGAAGCTCAGGACATTGTACCTTGAAGCAAAGACAAAAGTAATTTCACTCTGGGATAGAACAACACAATGAAACAACTGTTTTTCAAAACTGAAAGGCAAGTGACCCAACCAAGATGGAGATTCAACCAAGATATTTATTGGGGGGGCTGCCTGAAGGTGAAGAAAAGGAGAGACAGAGAGATGAGAGGAGGAGGGCAGAGAGAAAGAGTAGAGAGAGGAGAGAAAGAAGAGGAAGAGGGCAGATATGAAGAAGGCAGAGAGCGTGAGCTTGCAAGCTTCAGCTTAAGAAGGCTTGCTTGGGGTACGTGGCAGGTGTTGATTGGCAGGGTGACTCAGGAACAACAAGTGGACACTGTGTCCTGCAAGAATTGGTCAAGAAAACTTTTTAAGTTGGAGCCCTTAGAAGAGGAGGGGGATGGTAAGGGATTCCATTATGTTATTGTGAGACAGAAATTTAACTTCAGCAGGGAGTTTCCCACATACCCAACAAGAACACAACATTGAAAAACTAGAAGGTAAAGGCTATGTGACCTCAGAAAAAGCTTGTATGCATAAATACACAAACACAAAAACTCATGCACAAATACAGAAGCCACAAGTTGCACACCAATGATCACACTGTTTTAGGGACAAATGAGGCAAAGCACCAAAGATAGCAGGAAACAATTTTATTTGGCTGCAGCCAGGTTCAGAGAGCACAGCTTTTGCTGTAATCAATTAATCCCCTGAACCCTGAGTTCAGGGAGTTTCAGAGTTTTATATCCAGCATGTAAGGGGAGGGGCTCAGAAGTTCACAGTCTGCAAAAGCTCACATAAAAGCAGCTTTTTCTTTCACTGTTCTGGGCGTGTTAACCCTTCAAGAACAACACCCGAGAAGGGGAGAGTTTCTTCTCCCCTTTCTATTCTCCCCTGCCAGCTGTTACCATGGAACTCAGTTGGTAACTTCTCTTATCTTAAAAATGTAGACATCTCTGTGAAACCCAGCTCAAGGCCAGGGGCCTTGTTTTCACATTTCTTCAAAGTACTATACTGGATATGTTTGTTGAAAACTAGTAAGGGGGTGTCCAGCACCTGCAGTGCTGGTATATTCTCCACCAGTGACCGAGTAAACAGGGCAACATGAAAATAGGAAGTTTATCTACATTGAACTCTTTTGCAGAAACTCTTTTGGTGACAGTCCTAAAACCAGTCTGGGTGAAGATTTCTGGAGAGGCCCAGTTAAGAATTTTCATTGGAGAAAGGGGGTGCCACTTGAACACAAGAGGTCAAAGATTTCTTCATGGTGGCATTTTCTTGCTCCTGCTGATCCTGAGGATCTTAAAGACCTGAGGAAGCAGAGAAGTCAGAGGGGCAGAGATGGCAGGGATTCTCAGTCTAGGATACCAGAGAGCAGGTAGCAGCACAGATCAAGCTCTCTGTATCTTTTATATGTTTCTTTGACTGAGTAAAACTTGGAAACATGCAGAAAGATTCAAACTTGGAGACTAAGCCTTGGGGGAAGAGAAATAATCCTGCTGCCTTTATTTTTCTGCTTCTCCTGATGTTTCAATATGGGGCTAATTGCAAATATTCTCCCAGTTCCGGTTTTTATATTAACTATATTTACTATATTTTTTATATTTATATATTATATTATATATGTTGTATATAATATATACTATATTATATATGTTTTGCTGTTATGTATTTTAAACTATATTTACTATACTTCCCATATGTAATTCCAAGTATTGTCATTCCTGCCCAAGCCTAGAAGAGGTAACCCCCAAAGGATTACAACTTCAGTGAGCCAGCAGATGCTATTATAATGCCAGATTCATGGTACCCCAATAGACCTCCTGGAGCTGAATCCAATGCAATCATACAAGAGTCTTTATTGCAAGCTCGAGCCTGGACTCACAACCGTTTCTGATGCAGTGGTCCCAGGAAATGAGTCCCAGTCCTTTGTCCAGTGAGATTTTACAGATTTGGGGGGAATACTCTATACATCACAACATCACACAGCAAATCATTCCATACCATGGAAAAGTCAAACAACAACTCTTAACAGTGATTAGCACATTCACTGTGTTATGCTCGAATTCGGGACCCCGAAAGACCACCAGAGACCAAAGATCGATGTAAGCAGCAAAGAGGTGTTTATTGTGAGCTAGTTCGGTCCTCTGCATGCATACAGCAACTGGTGACACTGAGAGGCCCCGAGCCCAGGGTTTGCAGCAGTTTTATACACTCTTTGGGGAAGGCAGGGACTTCACATACATCTTAGCATCTCTTAGCAAACCATCACACACCGCAGGAAAATCAAATAACAACTCTAAAACATGATTAGCACATTCACTGGTGGGAACAAGTTGGGTAGGGGTGATTGGCCAGTACAAAAGGGGTATTCATTTGAACTGATTGGTTTAGGCCACAAAGGGTGTATGTGCTGAACTACATGGTTTCCCAACATGTTATCAACCACCATAAACTACTGGGAGGGTCATCTGGTATCCCAGGTATTTCCCTGTCTCATGCTGATTGGTGGCTGCTAGGGGGTTGCTATGGGTCCTCACCTAGCCTGACTGAG